TCCATGCACATCTCCCCCCTCCCCCCCACACCCATCAGTCCTCAGTTTGTTCTCAGCATTCAAGAGTCTCTCATGGTTTACCTCTCTCCCTCTCCCCCATTACTTCCCCCCTTCTTCTCCCCCATGGTCCTCCGTTAAGTTCCTCCTAATCCTCCTATATGTGCAAACATATGGTATTTGTCCTTCTCTGCCTGACTTACTTCTCTCAGCATAACACCCTCAAGGTCCATCCATGTTGCTACACATGGCCAGATTGCATTCCTTTTCATTGCCATGCAGTATTCCATCGTATAGATAAACCACATCTTCTTGATCCATTCGTCTGTTGATGGACACTTAGGCTCCTTCCATGTTTTGGCTATTGTTGAGAGTGCTGCTATGAACATTGGGGTACATGTGCTCCTATGCATCAACACTCCTATATCCCTTGGGTAAATTCCTAGCAGTGCTATTGCTGGGTCATAGGGGAGTTCTATTAATTTTTTGAGGAATCTCTGTTTTCCAGAGGGGCTGCACCAGTTTACATTCCCACCAACCTTTCTCTATAACATTTAATTCTTTGATTTTATCTATAAAAAAATAAGTTCCTTTAAATAGGATGGGACTATATTGTTAAAGACACACAGAAAGGCATCACAAGTTTACCATTACTATAGCCAGCTTCCAAATTTCATTTTGTTTCACTAAAGAGTGCACATAGGTCACTTACCTTGCTCCACCAAAATAGCCATCCTGCATTTTTCGGAGTGCTGCTAGGATACTTGAATTCAAGCTGATTCCATCTTCATCTAGAGAATTTTAAAAACAATTTTTGTGGTGTTAACTTTGAAATAAGGGGTCTATTTTAACTATTTCATTAAAAAATTTGTTAACGTTTATTCATTTTTGAGAGACAGAGAGAGACAGTGTGAGCAGGGGAGGGGCAGAGAGAGAGGGAGACACAGAACCCGAAGCAGGCTCCAAGGTCTGAGCTGTCAGCACAGAGCCCGACACGGGGTTTGGACTCACAAACTGTGAGACCATGATCTGATCCGAAGACAGACGCTTAACCGACTGAGCCACCCAGGCGCCCCTATTTCAATGATTTAAAATCAACATCCTGGTTGTACAAATGAGACACTCCTCATTATCCACTCTGTATTTCAACAACTGATTGAGAGCCAACAACACTGCAGAATGGGCACGTGGTAAGGGATGATTACCAATAGACAGCGTTTCTCAAAGACAGTGTCTTATTTATCATAAGCATCTAGCACAGTGCCTGATGGCAGACTACGTAATTGATACTGAAAGCTAACACTAATAACAGCAACCATTTGTTTAGTGTTATGTGCCAGACACTGTGCTAAAACATTTTATATATTATCTCATGTAAGGAGCTTTATCTTTGTGTATGTGTTTGTGGAGGGGGGCATACAAAATAAAGGCTAATAATTATCTGACTTTATGTGAAGGGGATCATAGTATACATACTCTTTTGTGATCTACTTTTTCTAACTTATCCTTTGTAAAAGCTATATAAGATTCCATAGCAGACATTTAAACTGTTCTTTTCTAATTATAAGCAACATTGTGGTGATCTTTGTACCTACATTTTTGTGCCCTTATTCTGTGATTTCCTTAGGATAAATTCTAATTAGTAAAAGTGTTAGGACAAAGGGAATACTTACTAACAACTTTATAAAGACTGCTCAATTGTCCACTAAAATGGTTGTGCCAATTATATTTACACCATCAGTATAGAAAGCGACTGTTTCAACACATCCTTAATAATCATCTTTTTAAATCTTTGTTTATAAAATACTTGAAAGAAACAGTTTTAATTTCATTACTAGTAAGATTGAGCATGTTTTCGTGTATATACTGGCTATTTGCATTTCTTTTATGATTTGCTTGTTCATAACCTTTTTCCATGTTTCTATTAAGTAGTTTATCTTTTTTTAAAATTAACTTTCAAGGGCTCTTTATACAAAATATAAAGAAAATATTACCCTTTTCTCTACCATATGTATGAAAAATACTTTACCTACTTTGTTATTTGTCTTTCAACCTCAAACAGTTCATTTTTATATAAAAGATTTAAATTTTCATGTTTTTGAATTGGCCAATTTTTCCTTTTTTGTGTGTGTGTCTTGCAAAGAACAGTTTTCTTTAGCTCAGGGTCAGAAAAACATTCTCCCATATTTCCTTTTAATATTTTTACAGGTTTATTCATTTATACTTAGATTTTAATCTACTTAGAATTCAGGTTTGCATAAAATGTAAAGTGGCAGGCCTAAATGAATGATTTTCCTAGATGTATTTATTTATATTCTTTTTTTCCTCATATTTTTATTTCAATTCTAGTTAGTTAACCTACAGTGTAATATTAGTTTCAGGTGTAGAATTTAGTGATTTGTCACTTACATATAACACCTGGTGTTCACCACAAGTGCCCTCCTTAGCCCCCATCACCTATTTAACCTGCCCACCTCTCTTCTGGCAACCATCAGTTTGTTCTCTATAGTTAAGAGTATGTTTCTTGGTTTTCCTTTCTCCCCAGAACCCCACCATGTTTGTTTGTTTTGTTCCTAAAATTCCACATATGAGTCAGATCATATGGCATTTGTCTTACGCTGACTTATTTTGCTTAGCATAATACTCTCTAGCTCCATCCATGTCAATGCAAATGGCAAGACTTCATTCTTTTCTTCTGGGTAATAGTCCATTGTGTATATATACAACTTCTTTATCTGTTCATCAGTCGATGGTCATTTGGTCTCTTTCCATAACTTGGCTACTGTTGATAATGTTCTTTGCCTCTATTTGGATTGTAATCTTTATCACTATTTTAATTATGATAAATCTGTCTTCTCTCATTGTTTTCAGTTTTTTAAAACTCTGGTTATTCTTGTATACTTTCTCTTCCATATGAAATTTATTTCATTAAAGTTTATTTATTTTGAGAGAGAGAGAGAGAGAGAGAGAGAGAGAGAGAGAGAACGTGTGTATTCAGGGGAGAGGGCAGATAGAGAGGGAGAGAAAGAAATCCCAAGCCGACTCTGCAACATGGGGCTCAATCGTACGAATCCTGAGATCATGACCTGAGCCAAAATCAAGAGTAGGATGCTCAATTGACTCTCAATATATACTTCCAATCATGGAATGACTCATGGTTCCTGGTGGAACTCCAGGATTAGCTTCATAACCAATGCCACCACCACCTAGAGGTAGAAATTTCTGGCTTCCTAAACCATAGGACTCTCCCCTGTTCTTTGCCCCTCTACCATCCATTCTGTTTCTTTCTCTTGGATCCCTCCAGCCCATCTGCTATAACTTTCCTCTCCTTGGTGTCTCATTTATTCTTCCATCTCACGTTGACCAGTCTTCATCTCTTTTCCCTTCTACATCATTATCTCTCTTGCTTTACTTGCATCTCTTTATGTATCTTCATTTCTTGATTGTGAAGTTCTTCCATGTGTCTTAATTTCTCCTGGTGTCTCATCAAATCTTCATGCAAAATAATTGCTTGATGCTCGTGATAGGCATCTTCCATTTCACTTTCCAATTTGTCTTGTGTATCTTTCATGTTTTTGTTGATTTGTTTCCTTTGCTCTTTTTCCACTTAATCCAGGGGCTTCCACTGCTGAAAATATATACTCAAATGTGCCATGCTGGGCAAAATGAGGAGGGGTTTCTCTTCCAATTTTGATACATTGTATTCTTCTTTGCAAGTTCTTCAGGAAGACCATCTTCATCATCTAATTGTTTGGGTGGTTCCACAACGACTGGACAAGGAGTTGTTGTCAGTAAGAAAAACACTCTCACAGCATCTTTCAGGTGCTTTTCTTGTTGCTGGCTTAGAAGAAATTCAACAATGCCTTTCTCACAGGTTTTCTGTGATCATCCACAATTACAATAGCCCTTTCAATAGGACCAAAGTGGCAAAACACTTCTTCCAACAGTTCACTGAAAACATAAGATTAAAATTCTGAATGGAAAAGGCAGCAGCACATATGGCAAAGTGAACTCAAAGTTGGGTTGAAAACTCTCATGGGTGTACCATCAAGGTCAGCTTTGGCAATTTCAGCCAATGCTCTAGATTCAAGTTTAATAAGTCTAAATCTTCTTTCTCCTGGTTCTCCCTATTTAGTCTGTTGAATTCATCCTCCATGATATGTGCAGATATATTTCCAACAACCAACAATGCTGAGTGTAAGTTTTCCCTTCATGCTTCCTCAAGAGAGATAAGTTGGCTTTAAACTCCCCCAAGTGAGATATCTCCTTGCTGCAGCCACCGGGCCCACTGGATGGGGGATCCTGGTGGTGCTGCTGTTGGTAGGTTGAGTGGTGCTGCAATCCTCTGCAGGGCTCCCTACCACCTCGGTGGGGAGCTTGGGGTGCCCTTGAGTACACAGGCCCAGGCCACCACAGGGCTTAGGCCTGCCTGCACTTTGCCACCTTTGAGGCAGCTTGTGGGTGGAGGCAGTGGGCCTCCAGCCTGAGGGAACAGTGATGACCCTGCTGCTTGACAATGAGGTTAGGGGCATCAAAGGGAGCACTGAGGTGACAAGTGGCAGGAGGGTGTGGGTGTGGCTTGGTTCTGCGGGGAGAGATTGGGGAAGTGGTGAGTAGTGCCCAGCTGGAGGCTGTTGGAGCACTGCCTACTCTGGGAGCTGGGCCAGGACCCTGAGAAACAACGGGCTTGGACAAGTCCTGTGCTGGCAGCAGCAGTTACTGTGGTGGCAGTGGCCTCATTTGTGGCTGCTGCTATTGCTGGTGTGGAGACAGTGGTGGAATTGGGGGCTTGGTGCCACCCTGGTCCAGGCTGGGCTCCAAAGGTCCACAGTTCTGACTGAGGCCCAGGCAATGCAGCAGGGAGTGGAAGTTGTGGAGGTCACCCTGACCACCACTTCCTCTACAACAGTGGAAGCTGCCAGTGATACTGCCATAGCTCTGGAACTGATCCTAAGAAGTGTCTGTGATCAAGGGGCAATTGAGGTGGAAGCAGAGAAGATACTCAGGAAATGTGGAAGCCACCTCGCTTCACACAAGATGGCAGATGACACAGGTCTCTCTTATAATTTAAAGGTCGCCTCCATTTTTGTTGCTATATCCTCTTTCCTAATGTTTTTATTATCTGTTTTTTCTCTTTACTCTGATATCTATTTTACCAGATATTAATGTAGCCGCTTCTAATTTTTTAAGATTAATTTTATATAGTGTAATTTTTCCATTTTTTTCCTTTCAGTCTACCTATATTTTTTATATGAGCGCATTTCATGGATACAGCATACATATGGTTATTTTTAAAAAATCCACTCTGTCAACCCCAGCCTTTTAATTAGTATACTTAGGCTATTTACAGTTAATGTAATTAATGATAGGGTTAAACCTATGTTAATTATTGTTTTCTGTTTGCTCCTCTGTTCTTCATTTCCTTATTTTCTTCTTCCTGAGTTCTTTAAAAAAAATTTTTTTTGAAAGGAGGCAAGATGGCAGAGAAGTACGGAGCTCTGTACATTTCACTCGCCCCCATCTCTCAAACAGAGAAGGCCTGAAGCCATAGGAACCCTTACAGAATCCAGGAGTTTCGGAGGAAAAGGAGACAGAGTCCGCTGAAAAGCCTTATAGAGTGAGTGGGAACTGGGGAAGATAAAATCGGGCTGGGACTAGAGACACAGAGGGAGGGGGGGATCCCCCTTTGTGGGGAGCCACGGTGAGTCTAGGGGAAAGAAGAAAGAGTGGCCGAAACTGCTCAAGACACTGTACCTGTCGCTGGAGAAGAGAAAAACCTCCGCTCGGACAA